CCCCAAAACCCCAAAACCCCAAAACCCCAAAACCCCAGAACGAAATAAGAACTTTGAAACAAAATATTATTAATAATGGAAGAATATGGACAAGGCGAGATTGAGGTTATACCTCCTGAGGAGGAAGTCACTACTTCTACAGACAGTTCTCCTAGAGGTGATTTGAAAGCTGTAGACAGCGTTTTAGAATATGTAGGGACACCTTTTTTTGTCCCCGTTTTTGCAAATCCTGACTAATCTTTTATTTATAGAAATGAATATCGAAGAAGGAATTAATACGCTAGGTATGGAGCTCATAGAGAATGGTGACGCTAACTGGATCTATTGAAACGAAGGCAATAATAATATTGCAGTGGTTTTTAAGGTTTTTACTGAGAAAAGTAATCTTGATAGAAAGTTTCATCCCATCATTGATTTTATTGACAATTCGGTATTCAGAATCAAAAAGAAAGTTAAGGATAAATACTTGGTTAAAGGTATCATTGATGACGAAATGACGTACTCTCAGTATTTTTACGATCATATCGCGAAGAACGATAAAGATATCAAGCCATTCTTGTGCAAATACGATGAAGTTATACTTTCGACGCAGGCAGTAGAGTCTATAAATGCCGCTATTAAGGAAGACAGAGACAAAATGATAGCCGAAGCTCACATCAACTACCCCCTGAAAACCTTCCAAGGTATCGATACCGACCTTCGTTATGCTAGTGTAATGGCTAACTTAGGAAGTAGATACTCCACTTCTTCGAAAGGAGTGGTGAAGCATGTTGAACTAAAACTTGGCTTAATTGTGCCAAAGCCTATGCAGAAATCATTCACTAAACATCTCAATGATACATATTCTGTTGAGCAACTAGAGAGGACGAAGTGGTTCAGAAACAAGTCTCGGTTCAATGCTAAGCAGGCGAGTTTGAAGAAACAAGGAAGGAGCGATACATTCTGATCTTATAACCCTCATATTATGACAAGTGGTGAACCAGAAGCTATGAAAATGGCACTCCAGGAACTTTTCACCAATGGATCTGGGTATGCAAAGATCTTCAAACAAGGTGAACAATATGAGGTTAGCGAGAGGGATATCGAAATAATAGTCGAATTTTTATGACAAGGAGTAATTAAACAGATTGAAAAATACCAATCTTTGGATAAGTCAGATCTGGATGAGATTAACGAGATCTACCAGGAAGTAATTATTGAAGATCCTTCACCAGCTGACAGTATCACACATTATTTTGAAACTTTCCACCAAAGGTCAACTTTAGGAGAATCTGATATAAACTTGGTCGAATATAAATGGAGAAGAGTTCTAGATTGGATTGTCTCAGAGACGGTGAAAGACTCCTCCATTATGATCCGCTGGGTGGAATACCTAGAGGATGATATCCCTAAGCATTCGTTAGACACTCTCAAGATCATTGATGTAGATACGAAGCTCTGAACTAAGATACCTAACTACACAAAAGAAATATTTACGTTCTTTGTTAGTTATGCTGAATATTTATTTAGATAATTTCAAGTTCTCCAGATTGGCTTGGGGTTTTGGGGTTTTGGGGTTTTGGGGTTTTGGGGTTTTGGGGTTTTGGGGTTTTGGGG